ATTTCTGAGGCACCAAGGAATGCAAATAAAAATGAAATTTTGATTTGATATTCTTTGCAGAAGTCTGTGAGTGGCATATCTTTATTTATGATGCTATTAGTACTTTGTTTAGTTGCCAAATGGCCCTGAAGGACACAAGCATTTCCTTATGGGAACACTCTTGCATTAGAATCAGTCTGTTGCCACCTGCTGTATAGAAGAAAGATTGCTAATTGTAATTATATTCACTGCTTTCAATTTGGGAAACTGTTCTAAATTGTTCTAAACCTTTTAATGTGGTTTACAGTTGTAATGCTTTGCAGACTCAACAGTAGTACCACTGAGAAAGATAGTTTAAGGAAGGCATTGCTGTCGATTCTATGCATTTGTGTTGTATCATGAGTCCTAAGATAACCTACAAGATACAGTGGAACCTCGGGTTACATACGCTTCAAGTTACATACGCTTCAGGTTACAGACTCTGCTAACCCAGAAATAGTGCTTCAGGTTAAGAACTTTGCTTCAGGATGAGAACAGAAATTGTGCTCTGGTGGCGTGGCGGCAGCAGGAGGCCCCATTAGCTAAAGTGGTGCTTCAGGTTAAGAACAGTTTCAGCTTAAGAACAGACCTCCGGAACGAATTAAATACTTAACCTGAGGTACCACTGTAACCAGTTTCTCTATCACTAAGCTTGGAAAATATTGGGAATTATAAAATATTGGGAATAATTAAAAATTATTTTGAGGGATCCATGGTTGTATTTGCAATTATGGCTGTGCTTTTTTGAGCACATGTGGAAGTGGTTTTAAATGTTTCAGCTTCTTCCCACTTCATCCTGGTTTCAACCTCATGTGTTTCCATGCAGTCATCTATCCACATACACATTCAGCATTTTTGGATAAACTTCCATTATCCCTGACCACTGACCATGCTGGCTAGGAGCGATGGGAATTGTTGTTCAACAACACCTGGGGACCCAAGGTTGAAAAAGGCTGCATTATGGCCTTTCCAGGTTTACATGCAGTTCTGTATCAGCAATTTGAAGATGATGCACAAATGGTTATATTTCCTGCTGCTTTTATTCAAGAATTAATATACTTCAGGGCATTAATGTGGACTGCCTCTCACTTTTTGGGTGTTTATTTGCTTGCTATGAGTTATTATAGCTTCTTGTCAGACCTGCATCATTTGACCTTTTTTTTTTTTGTATGTAGTACTTTGCTGTTGTAGAACCATCTCTTGAGTTGGGGTTGGGGGAATCTAAGGAATGATTTAGGGCTGTATAATCTCCCCCTGCCCCAGATTTTAGGCCTTTAAAAAAAACAAAAAACCCACCAACCTTTTAAGTACAGCATCTGATCACTAAGAAGTTCTAGAGCTTAAAATCAGTTACTTTTGCAAGCGCTAGCCATGAGAAATGTTGGTCCTTGGACACAATATGCTTGGAATGTGATAATAACATTGCCAACCTTTCTTTGCCCTATTAAAGAATATATGGTGTGTAAACTTCTAGGAACTGAGAGTGGTTAAATCACTAGAATGAAACATTGTATGTAAAAAGACATGGCAGCTGCCAGTGTATCCTACTGACAGTTAATTTCACTTGTATCATTTTGTAGTTTGGTTGGTGGAGTCTCAACCACTAGCCAAACAACAGAAAGATACTGTGCAAGTGAAATTAACTATCTGTAGGGTATGCTGGTAGCTGCCATCTCTTATGTATAATGTTTCATTCTAGGCGATTTATCTAACCACTCTAGTTTCTAGTGCCTTCATCTGCCCCTGTTGTAACAAAACATGTCCCTCCTGTATCGGTCTCTACAGCCACAGCAGATGCTGTAACCCTCCAGTGGTTTGGCTTCATCCCCAAAGGTGCACTCTTCCATTGTCTCTTGAGACACATGGGTGCCAACCATGTTGGTTAGTTGTAGATCACTGGATGAGGTTTAGCATGAGGAAGAGGTGAGGAAAGGATATACTTTTGATTATCCTCTATAGCATCACCTGACAAATTGTTTATAGACCCATTTCCTACTCTATCCTAAAAATACACTTTGAAGATCACTGTGATGAAATTATGGGTAGCTGCAGTTGGAAGTCAGAAATTGATTGCATGTGCAAATCCCTGCATGGCGTTAGGTGTTCTCTGCAAAAATGTGAACTACCTTTATTCTGGCTTTAAATCACACTGATTTAATTTGGAATAATAGATCTCTCGCTGTGGGTTGGAAGTACTGTTTCAGAATTAAATATGACCCTGCTTCCAGTCAAACTGAACTTGGCAAAGCAAGCCATTTTTAATCCATAAGTGTTTTTGCATGAGAACGTAAGTGTTAGCCAATTAATTGTAGATAATGTATTTTAAAATAGTCTTTGCATAAACAACCCTCTAGTTTTTCATTATCTCCTTCCTGAAACCCTGAGAATGAAGGATAATAGAAGCACTCTGCAGGGTTTTAATGACAAGTGCTGGGTAAGATGAGCTGAAGCAGGAATGGGGTACTATATGCTGACAAGCGCTGGCCTGGAGAGTGCTGATGTGTCCAGTCATTTGATATAACTGGTTATTGGCATTTAGAGATAGCTAATTCGAGTGAAAGCACAGTGAAAAAAGCCAGAGTCCAAAGAAATTGCAAATTAATATACTGTTCAGGTACAATCCAGCTCAGATTAAGTCCTGACATATGCATGGGGGGAAGGGAATATTCTACTTCCATCCAAATCTACAGTCAATCTTCTTCTTTGGCGATCACTCATAGCTGAGTAAGATTGTCTTCCATGAATATGGTCTTAATGGTGTGTCCGTAGGCAACTGTGGAGACCAATTTTGGATCCAGGTAGGAGTTGATCACGGCGAGGATATGCCAAACATGCCTTCCTCTTAGCTCATTTCTCCCTTTCATCCTGAGTTCGTTCTTCTTACATGATGCCTTTTAGTCAGTATTTAATGTGAAACTCGACTTTAAAGTTAAATAATATTTTTATGAAGAGTTATTTTTGTTGTTTTATTAATCTCTATTCTTCTTTTCTACTCAGACATTTAAGGCACAATTGTGCCTTTGTACTTTTAGTATTAGGGACGCGGGTGGCGCTGTGGGTAAAAGCCTCAGCGCCTAGGGCTTGCCGATCAAAAGGTCGGCGGTTCGAATCCCCGCGGCGGGGTGCGCTCCCGTTGCTCGGTCCCAGCGCCTGCCAACCTAGCAGTTCGAAAGCACCCCCGGGTGCAAGTAGATAAATAGGGACCGCTTACTGGCGGGAAGGTAAACGGCGTTTCCGTGTGCGGCTCTGGCTCGCCAGAGCAGCTTCGTCACACTGGCCACGTGACCCGGAAGTGGCTCCCGGCCTATAGAGTGAGATGAGCGCACAACCCTAGAGTCTGTCAAGACTGGCCCGTACGGGCAGGGGTACCTTTACCTTTACCTTACTTTTAGTATTATTGTTAACTACTCTTCTTATATACGTAATGCCAAACCATGGTTTGGTGTTATTCCTAATCCAGCATACTGACTACTAAACATGATTAATAGTAAAATTTGTGTATGTGAGGAGTGCAATCCTTTGGCCATTTGCTATCCACAGGCAACATTACATTGCACAGACTCTCATTATTAGAGGAAATATTAACTTTCATGTTGCATTTTTATCACATTTTGTATCGGAATGTTTCAATTATGGTAAGAGTCAAGTGGGACCTGCAACAGAATGTTGCAGCGTAGAATATTCCTATTCAACCACGGCAGCCATTCTTTCTTTCTAGACACTTGATTCCAGGGGCAGCCATCTGGTCCCTTCAGGTTCTGTGAGCTACAACTCCCATCATTCTTCATTGTTGACCCTGCTGTTTGAGGCTAGGAGTTGCAGTCCACAACAGCTGGAGGGCACCACATTGCCAACACTGTTGTATTCTATTCTCCTAGTTTCTATTAGTATGATGATGATGATGATGATGATTGTAAGATATTTTTTAATGAAAAAGTTCAAGGTCTGACAGGATATAAAAGAATAAATCAGGTTAGAAAGATACATTGCTGCTGATTTCCACTGATCACTCTGTTCAGTTGCCAGTCATTGTAAGAAGGAAGACATACAGTAGTCATTGTTTCCCATGTAGCGCAAATTGCAAACTTTATACTTTGTCCTTTGACATGAGATGTTTTGTGCAGCCCCACAGTCTGGAGTCTTTGCTTGCTGGTAGGTAAGTGTACATAGGATTGCAAGCCTTAGTCAATTATCGGTAGAATTGGGGATTGGCATCCCATAAATTATGAATTTGAATAGTTGGGTTTTTAGTGTCAGATTGTGGGGCTACTACAGGAAGTGTAATGGTTTAAAACCTTTAATTAACTTTCCATTCATTTTGTTCCTACTTTATTTCTAACATATCTGGCTTTGTTTTCCTGTATTATATTCTGGGGACAGTAGATGTCTACATGTCAGTGGTTGAAAGAAATACAAATGATTAGTATAAAGTTCAACACCATTTTAATGCATAGTTTATTTTCTCACCAGCCTGATCCAGTAAAAAATACCTAGACTTGTGCAATGAATTAGCAGACTTCATGTGTTGCAGGAGTGCTGGAGTGCCATTATTGCATCCCACTGGTGTTCTGGGTCAGTTGCCAGATTATATCTTCAAATGTGTTGTGCAAGCAAAACAGAAGTTTGCTGGCATGCTCACTGGACAATAAGACTGGCAGTCATCTTGCGTATTAATACACATTGTTCCTGAAAAATGATGGATTAATTCCTTTGTTATCGGGCCTTTTTAATATATCTTGACTAGTTAAGAAGATATAGTGGTGAATTTTCTTATGTGTGGCCCTTGAAGCAGTAAAATTGGTACTTTGGAAAAGCTACAAAAATATCCAAAATAACATGAGCGTTGCATATTAGTAATTATACTGTTGGTATAATGTTTTCTTTCTATTTATTATAGGTTGTGTCACCTTAGTATTTTTGAAAACTAAATTACTGCTTGTTATATGATGTGAATCTCTTCACTCTGTAACTTTCTTTTTCAGATCTGTTTTCTTCTGTTTGCTATTCTCTATATTGTTTCCTACTTCATTATCAGAAGATACAAGAGGAAAGGAGGTAACTGTTTTTATAGTCATATGTAGACTGCAGTCAAAATGGGAAATAGATGAGATACTCTTGATGATATTGGGGCACAGTGCCAAAAAGGTGTTTGGGTGATGAGGAGAAAGTATGTGTTTGACCAGAGAGCCGTACTATTTTACATTATCTCTTCGTTGTATTTGCCCAACCTTTATTTCTTGCAGTGTGAGTTTCCCAACTTGTTAGGACTTTAGCTCTTAACTTGTGCCTGTTTTCTTCATTTATAATTTTGCAAGTTGGTTAATAGAAGGTGAAGTTTATCTATTTAAATAATTTATATATTGCTTCTGATAAAAGAATCTCCAAGTGGTTTACCATCTAAAATTCCAATATTAAACTGTTAATATGTATAAGAACAAATAAGTACTAAACTATACATACAATCTAAAAAATAATCAACAATAAGTAAGTAATGCAACAGCCCCATATGTAAAATGGGCCAATAACTAGTGGGGAAAAACCTGCCCAAGCAGATGTGTGTTAACAGTCGTGGAAAGCACCTTACTGCAATTGCCAGAAAGAAAGCTCATTGTCTGTGCCATGCTGCCACCTAGCTACCAAATGTCTACAGACTGCATGGTGGCAATCTTCTTCTTTGGCGATTACTCGTAGCCGAGTAAGATTGTCTTCCATAAACACGGTTTAACAATGAGTCCACGTGCAATCTTATTAAAAGTTGCATGACAGGGATCCTTGTGATACAAATAGCAGTATGGTTGCAGTCTAAATAAATATGGGTTCAGGATTGCTAATTTAGTTTATCATTACTATGTCAGTAAATGATATACTATTTAAGGGTTTGAGATTAAAGTTTAACTGGAGGGCTTATATTGACTTGTATTTTTAATGTAAGATCCACGCATTGATGGTCAGTGTATCCAATATGCTATGGTTTACTATTACTGTTAGTACTATTTTTCCTGTTTTTCTTCTTCTTTACTTTATTCCCCATCTTTTCATGATATTTCACCCCAATTCTTTGTTAAATCTGCAAATTGAAAAATTAATAACCCATAAATAAACTTAACATCCAAATTTATTTGTACTCAGTTATGTTATTATAGACAAATTAATTGACGGCAAGGCTATCCAAGGCTACTGGCCATGATGGCTATGTTCTGCTTCCACTGTCAGAGGCATTATTCCACCAACTATCAGTTGCTTGGAATTGCAGGTGGGCAGAAGGCTGTTGCGCTCATGTCCAGCTTGCAGACTTCCCACAGGCACCTGGTTGGTCATTTCTTATCTGTCAAAACTAAGTTATACTTGGGTAAGGGTAAGCTTCTGGTGGCTTGCACCATCAAGCCATCTTGACATTTTTCTTCACTTTCATCTCTAACATTGTGTATATTTATAAATGTAGCTTCATGAAAATTAGTTCCTTTAAACTTTCACATTTCTCTTTTTTGTTTAAACCTTTATGAAATACAGTACTTTTGTAAAGTACAAATATGAAGTATGATAAAAAATATGAAGTTTGATTAAAAAAAACCTTGCATAATATTTTGATTACATTTTCATTTCTTTTCTGACAATATTTTAATGGAGCTTTCTAAAGTTTCAAAATTCCAAAACTGTATTTTTCCTTTTTTCCTCTTTAAATATGAAATTTTGCACTGATTTGTCCAATCATATATATAAAATTTCTTAATACAAATCCTAATAACTAATACGGTTTCATATTGTCTTGCACCTTACAGTTGGAACTTTTCAAATTAAACCTCTTTTCAATCTGTTTCTCATTTCCTATCTACCCTGAGTTGTTTTATTTTGGGGTTGAGGGGTTGTTTCTTTTCTGCCAGTTAGGTCTGGAGGGCAGGACAAATGTTCCTCCTGGAAGAGGTGGCAACAGTCTTGAAGACCCTGCCTATCAAGGCCAGAGGGGGGACTCATCCTATTCAGAGAATGTCTGCTAGTCCAATCTGTAAATACAAATTCATGGTAGAACACAGAGGAAGCACAATTTCCATTTTCCATTTTCTTTAACATTGTTAAAGTAAAGCCAAAGTGCTAAGAAGTAAAGAAAGTGTGATAACAAATTAAGAATTGTACATACAGTCATACCTCGAAAGTTGAACACAATCCGTTCTGGAAGTCTGTTCGACTTCTGAAATGTTTGACTTCCAAAGTGCAGCTTCTGATTGGTTGCAGGACACTCCTGCAGCCAATCGAAAGCCACGGAAGCCCCGTCGGATGTTCAGCTTCCAAAAGAACATCTGAAACTTCCGGTTTTCGATCTTTCGGGAGCTGGAACGTTCGACTCCCAAGGCGTTTGGAGCCGAGGTACGACTGTATTCTAATTTCCCCCCAAATTATGTGCAATCCCATCTACAAATAAACTTTTTACCTATGGTTTCAAAGTGCTTTGAGATTTCACTTCTCTTTATTAATGGAATTTTATTGTTGATGTTCTGCTTTGCAGTGCCGTGGTATGCTTTTCTTAATATTGGTGGTGTTTGCAAATAAAGTAAGCATAAGATGGCCTTAGGACATTCTACGAAAGCAAGCAAGGGAGGAAACTTAAGTCACTTATGCTTCCTCTGTTGACATTTCTGGGTCTCATTTGAGGGTGAAGGGAGAGATGTTTGTTTTGTTTATGCACTGGATAACATGGACTGTGCATTTTGCCCCCGAGATGTGTCTCTTGCCTATGTAAAAGTTAAAAACAGCCATAGAGGAAGCATGAGTGACTTCCTCATTTGCTGCCTCATTGACTGTCCAAAGGCAGTCAGTCAAGAACAATAGGTTTTGTAAACTGTGATGCAGACTCAAATGCTGAATTTGAGATTAGTGGAGGAAAAAAGCTTGTATATAGGAGCATTGTACTATGATAGTGCAAAGATTGGGCTATCTTGCTGTGTAGGCATCTGTCATTAAGGCAAAGACTAGGGCAGTCTAAACAAGGGTTCACTGATTTGTAATCTGTGCATTTTGATCACTTTAACTTTTTTATATATAAAAATGTTGGAAAAGAAGTAAAAAGCAGGCAACAATTGTCTTGGAAATAAAATGTAATACAAATATGCATTATTTTTCAGATGAGCAAGAGGATGAAGATGCTATTGTCAATAGAATTTCGTATGTATATGTTTGTATGTATATGTATATCTTATTTAGGCTTTCATTACCTTTCCGGTGCTATGCAAATATAGGTCTGGCTTGTACATAACGCTAAACCCACAGACAATCAAATGAATCATGGATTGTTTTTCCAAAGTTTTATTTGTTTTCCAGCTGCTCTTGCCCCATGCTGTTGTAGTTTTTCTAGAGTTGGGTGGGCAAACAAACTGTGGTTAAAGAAGGCTGTTGGGTTCACATGTAACACCAGGCCAATGTTTGGTGAACCAAAAACAAACCATGGTTTCAAATCACTGAACAAACCATAGTTAATTTATTTAGTTTTAATGTAGTTTTAATTTATTTTAAATTAACCGTAGTTAATTTATTTAGTTTTAATTTATTTTAATAAACTATGGTTTAGTATAATGAATGAATGAGGCCAAATAAGTGTTTTTCTGTTGTAGAAGAAGAATACTCTTGTGCTCTCCAAGCACAAAACTAAAATATATGCTGCTTGCATAGCTTTTTAGCTCTTAGTTTTTGACAATGGATACCGTGTTTATGAATCAAATAGCCTGATGAAAGCAAAAACTGAAAATAGAATCTGTATTCCCCGTATTTAAATTTTCTTTAAAACTTAGGTGTCCACTGAGAATTTTAACTTTTTGAATAGCTTTTATAAGAACTCTTATAGAAGTATCATTATCATAACTTCCATATGGCATGGGAGCTGCAATCTGACAATTCTCAGCCCAGAGCCTCCTTATGCATGCCAATCTAGTTGTGTTGTTCTTTGGATTGTGGCATATGTGTGTGTTTCCTTTTTAGTATTCATCTGCAAACCAAAATTTGTTTGAATTTGCTCCCATGCAGAGCTTTTCATTACTTCAGCAGTACTAGACTTTTACAGCAGAGGGAGCACTTTCATTAACCTTGACAGATGTTTGGTTTTCTTTAACACATTCAGGAATAGTGTTTTGTTTTGTTTTGTTTGTTTTGTGAGGTATAAGGAAAGATAAGGAAGTGAGAGGATGGTGTGCTAATTGAACTGCTTAGAGGCCATTTTGGTATGTGTAAGACATATATAAATTAATAATAATAGCAGCTAATATTTGATAGGTCTTCATTCTGTTTTTTTAAAAAATTAAACTTTGCATGTTGAATATTAGCTCTGGTGCCTGCAAAGCAGTGGCAGTTATGCATTGAAGCTCTTTTTAAGCTGTTTTCATTAACTTAACAGTTTGAACTGTTGTATTAGCAGTAACAATAATTCTTCTTTTTGATTTTCAGGCTATTCTTGAGTACATTTACTCTTGCAGTTTCAGCTGGTGCTGTCCTCCTTCTACCTTTCTCAATAATCAGCAACGAAATCCTGCTCTCTTTTCCACATAGCTACTATATTCAGTGGTTAAATGGATCTCTAATTCATGGTTTGTATTATATCATTTTAATATTGGTACTTGAATTTGAAACACAAAATTATCTTAAGTGTACCAGCTATGCATCAAATCAGAACCATTAGGGTACACAGATTACTTTAGGAAATATTTTCCATCCTAAGTAAACTGGGCAGGTAATCTTACCTGCTTTTCATCTTTAGAATGCTCTTTTTTCATAAGGGCTCTCCAAATCCTGAATTTGTGCATCTTCTGCAATTGATGCAAGATGTTTTTGGTCAAATTGGCTTTTGGTGGTAAGGGACATGGTACAATAATTAGCATTTTCTTTTCCACCCTGGGCTCTTGGGGCAGGGTGATTGTAAGTCCAGTTAAAAACAACAACAACAAAACAAACAAACAAACAAACAAACAAACAAACAAACAAACAAACAAACAGGACTTCCATTGGATAGATCAACTTAACTATTTTTCAGGAGGGGTTGAATGCTGTCTTTTAGACACTCCTCAATTATCTATACTAGATTTGTGGGATGCGGCGGCATCCCCAATTAGTTGTCATTCTGGTTCTGTGTGGAAAGAATAAAACTTTGGAAGAGTGGCTGCTTTGTGTTCATTATAGGGTTTGTTTTTATGAGGTCAGAGATGTCCTGCGCTACTTCTGTCCAATATTCAGATTAGTATTCTGAACCGCACAGAACTGGCGTTCCACAGGTGATAACACAAGCAGTGTAGCTGAGAGTTAGCACTGAACGGTATGTGAATTGCAGTCTGATGACGGTCATACATTCAAACCCAGAGGTAACATGGTTCAAAGGCAGTCTTAAAGTCAAAACAGAGGGAGGCCCAGCAAATAGCTAGGTAGACACAATTCATTGACAGGCTGCTCCTCCGTGATGTTTGCCTCAGGGAGCTCCTGGTCATCCTCCAGCTCGCCAATAGCAACAAGCTGCATATGAGAACCCACATATCCAACTGTACGATGAATTGATTTAAGGGGGCATGAGATAAATGAAGATCATCAATGGTAACTCTGCTTTGAGAGACTGATGTGTGGGAATGTGTGTATAAAGACTGCCACTCTTTTTGGTACTTCAGTTTGCAGTGCAGAAGCAAGATTATTGGCTGTCCAAGACAGGAATTATCCCGTTTCTTTGCTTTGAAGATGAGAAAGCTAGTGTGGTGTAGCACTTAGATTAGGATTTGGGAAACCCAGGATCAAATCCCACTTAGCTATGAAGCTCACTGAGTAGTGCTGGACCAGACACTATCTCGCCTGCCTTATGAGGTGGTGGTGAGAAAAAAACTTGTGTGCCACTTTGAGCTCCTTGAAGGCAAAATGGAATATAAATTGAATAAATAAATTAGTGGCGTGTGAATAAAGGGTCTGTGAAATAACGACATTGAAGTCACCATATTTTTTTTGGGGGGGGGAGTAATTGAACAAGCTGGCCCCCAGCCTCTTAAGTGAGATGGGCGCACAACCCTAGAGTCTGTCAAGACTGGCCCGTACGGGCAGGGGTACCTTTACCTTTAATTGAACAAGTGGAGTATACTGCTTAGTCAGCAGCTTAGAATCTCAGTGTGATATTGAATGTCATATACAAAGTTATACAGTGGTACCTCGGTTTACGAACTTAATCTGTTCTGGAAGTCCGTTCTTAAACCAAAACCGTTCTTAAACCGAGGCACGCTTTCCCTAATGAAGCCTCCTGCCTTTGGTGCCCTTCCACTGTTCGGATTCCATTCTTAGACCGAGGTAAAGTTCTCAAACCAAGACACTATTTCCGGTTGTGCGGAGTTTGTAAACCAAATCGTTCTTAAACCGGGCTGTTCTTAAACTGAGGTACCACTGTATTAACTTTAGTTAGCTGCTGAATTTGTGTGCTTGGGGGTCCTCAGTCATTCTGATGAAGTTAAATTGTGGTATTTTTTATTAAGCACTAGCATGGATGGTTTTAGATACTTAATATTTTTAATTCTTGCACTAGAATGTGTTACTTCCCTTGAGTCCTACATAGAGAAATTGAATTAATAAAAATATATTTGTGTATCTTCTGCCCTAATCTGGTACCTGGGGGGTGCACATGGTAGTTTAAAACCAGAAGCTCCTATATGAAGTTTGTTTATCTTATTTTGCATAGTAATATCTGTAATCTACATGTAAGCATATAATTTGCAGTCTATTCCTATAGTAGATTCCTTTATAAAGGGTGTTTAATTGAATTCAGAAATCTTTTGAAAACTTTGAAAATGCATTGTGCTTGATACAAACATCTAGGGAATGCCAGGTTTATTACACTTAGAACCCTAGAATTGTAGACTCAGAAGGGACCCCAGTGATCACCCAGTCCAGTCCCCTGCGATGCAGGAATATGCAGGTGGAACATATGGGAATTGAACCCACAACACTGGCATTACGAGCACCACACTCGTAACCCAACTGAGCTAACTGGAATAGGCAAGTGATTGTAGTTCCGTTATTCATTTGTAATGATTCTGAAAGCCAAGGCAGGTAACCTTTTAAAGTGAAAACAATAATTTTAAAGTATGTCTAACACCAGATAAATTTAGCTCAATTTCAAGACTCTTGAGATAGTGGAACTTAAGTAATGCACAAAGTGAACATGACAAATGTGAGGTTGTTGTTATCTCATATGTGTCCAGCAGATGGGGATAGAATATAGTGAAAATTCCACCTCCACACAATGCAGGACTTGCATCTATTCCACAAGCACTGTCGGCAAGGGTGAGGCTTTATCAGAAGTGGTAACATGCTTGCTTAATTGCAGTTTTCTTTCACTTAAATGCTTTAACATTTAGATTGTATCAGTTAAGCTGGCAAGGTTTGTGTGGGTTGCTCATAAAATCCTTCATACATTGTAGTTTGTCATCAGCCACATTAATGCTTAGGGTGTGGTTGCTCACCCCATGCTTTGCGCACCCAGCCAGTTTACCCCCTCCCCAGACAACCTTTTGTTCCTCCTTTATGATATCCTCTCTTTGGGGGGGTTAAAAGAGTTACCGGCAGTAATAGGCCTATGCTTCTTCATACATATAAAAGCAATTTTTGGCACACAAATATTTGTGGACAAAGTAAGTATAGGAGAACAATTAGGTGTGCATAGCAAAACATTCCAAACATATTTTCAGGGTGTAGTTTGATTCCCTGCCCCCCTTGACGAAGATATTGCACAAGCTGCTCGCCTCATAGGTTCTTTTAAAGAAAAGAGGACCAATCTTTGAATGGATGAGGTTGAGTTCTGTGTTACACTGCCTGCAGTAATTTTTAGAGAGCTATACAACATGTGGCGTGTAACTGAGCCACTTCAGATGCCAATCATTTATTTATTTATTTATTTATTTATTTATTATTTATTATTTATTTGATATACAGTCTTTCATCCAAAGATCACAGGGCAGTGCACAACATAAATATACAAAACAAAAACACAAAATGGATTACATAATAACAAAAGAAATCACCCCGTAAAAACACAATTTAAAGGCCCTAGATTGCTCAAAGGCCAGGTATTATAGGAACATTTTTGTGCAGTGCCTAAAGATATGTCATGAAGGCACCAGGTGAGCCAGAGCCTCCCTGGGGAGAGCATTCCACAAATGGGGAGCCGCTGCAGAAAAGGGCCGTTCTCATGTTGCCACCCTGCTGACCTCTCTTGGAAGGGGGCACATGAAGAAGGGCCTCACATGATGATTGCAGGGTCTGGGGCAGTTCATATGAGGGGAGGCAGTCCTTGAGGTATTGTGGTCCTAAGCCGCTAAAAACGCTATAGGTCAAAACCAGCACTTTGAATCGGGTCTAGAAACTGATTGGCAGCTCAGAGGATTAGAGGTCAAGGAAACTTAACAGGGACATATTTCCCCATCTCTCCTCATGACAGAGGCTATCATACAAGCAGTTTCTGTGCCAAAACCAGGCCCAAACCCTGATTGAAATGGATCCAGAAAATTGTTTTCCTCCAAGAAGAGGAGTCTAGTTTTCAAACTAAGTACGGTGGTACCTTGAATTACAAACGCCTCAGGTTACAAACACTTCACGTTACAAACTCCGCTAACCTGGAAGTGTTACCTCGAGTTGAGAACTTTGCCCCGGGATGAGAACGGAAATCGTGTCCCAGCGGTGCAATGGCAGTAAGAGGCCGCATTAGCGAAAGCACGCCTCTAGTTAAGAACAGTTTCAGGTTAAGAACGGAGTTCCGGAACGAATTAAGTTTGTAACTAGAGGTACCACTGTACTTCAGAGTAGTGAAAGTGTCAGTGAGCATTATATTTGGGTTCTGCTGTTAACACTGGAAGGTAATAATTAAGTGATATAGTGGTCTTTCACAAGCATATGAGAATAAAGTTGAGCAGTGAGCTGAATTATGGACAAACACTTTTGGTATGAATAAATTTCACAGAACCAACATGTTTATTCTGAATATTTCACAAATCTGGCCTTTTCCCCTACCATTTCTCATGTTTGCTGACTGGGTAGCTGCTTTGGCATACTGTATTTTTAAAAAACAGGATATCTGTGCAATATAGCCAGCCGGGGTTCATACAACCAGTGTACTGATGTCACGCTGCCACGTAGTCATTCAGATTCAGCTACAAGACATCTGAGAAACCAAATCAAATCAGGGCAATGGTGCCCTGTTTTACATGTCTCCCAAATTGACAGCTCAGGGAAGGGGTTTTGCAGAATAATATCCCCCGCCTTTTGCTAATTTCCCCAACCACTTTCAGCTATAGTAAACTTGAAATCATTAGAATTAACTGAGCATGTTTCTTCACTTCAGTGAGGGTGTTGTGGAATAAATGATAGAACTGATTTTGTGTTATACTGTAAAGATTCTGCAGTTTTCACAAGTAACACATACATTTTGTTTTTCTCTAGGGTTATGGAATCTTGTTTCTCTCTTTTCCAACCTTTGTTTGTTTGTACTGATGCCCTTTGCTTTCTTCTTTCTGGAGTCGGAAGGCTTTGCTGGCTTAAAAAAGGTGCGTGGATATTAAATATATGTGAATGTGATGGTTAAAATACTATGAGCAGCCAGCAACGCTATATATACAAAACTAATGGCCAGCTTTTAGAATCTATGCTAAAACAAATTGATGTGTGTTAAATGATGATAGTAATTGGCTTTGGCAATAATTATGTATAAACCTGAGTAATAGGAACTTAAAAATATATTATAGTAGCAACAAAACTCTTGGCTGGTCTGCATTCAGGCTAGTCCTCTAAATATATTAGGTTTGATAACCTTGCTATTACAATAAAACAAATAACACAGTACACAAATAATATTTTTGAAGGAGTATAACAAATGAGTGAGTGGGAGATTTATTTAGGGAATTTATATCTGAAATACGTTATGAATCTTGAAGGGGCCCAGAAGCGACCTTAGTCCCATTGCTTTACAATTTTGGGTCTAGGAGACCCAAACTGAGTCACACGACTTAAATTGATTAATTTTTGGTTGTATATATTTCAGCAATCCCAAAGTTTGAGAGTCAGTGGCACAGATGCTGTAACGGTACAGTGATCTGTTGTGGAACAACCCCATTGAAGAAAATAACAGTGGTTACCCAGACATTGCTGGTTGCTAATGGTCCTCCATAACTGTTCAAGCTTCAGGGCCACAAAAAGACAGGTCCACCATTGGGCTGACACTTAAAAAATTGAGTAATATTTTGCACCAGGCTCACTGTGACAGCACTCTGGGCCTTCCCCTCAAAACACGCTTCAGACACCCCTATTTACAAGTCCTAGTCGCAAGCTCCCAGAGACTGCAATCAGCTAAATAGAACAGCTGCTGACTGCTAACTCCTCCCATTGTTTGGTATGGTCTCCTTCTTAGTCTTAGTTTCCTTCTGCAGGTTATCCTCCACCTCTGCCATCTGAATTAACCCTTTCCTCTTCATGTGGAGTCCCCATAGATACAATCTAGAAGTCTCCTTCGTATTCCTGTTCAGACAGATTTATATTTTGAAGCCCAGACAGGACAAAATGCATATGACAGCGTATGAGCATGAAAACGGTTCAGATATCCCAGTGATCCTGGAATCTGCTAGTCAGGCCATTGGTCGATCTCGGTCAGTACTGTCAACATGTTTGACTGTGGCTCTCCAGGTTTTTAGATAGGAGTCTTTCTCACCTGTACCTGGAGAATTGAACCTGGGGCCTTCATCATGCAAAACAGATGTTCTACCATTGAACTGTCACCCTTCACTGAATATCTAATACCTGCATTGCTTCACAGGTGGTGGTGTAAGAAAATGTACATACCATGCCTGCAGAGGAATTTTTGTATCTGTTGTTTGTTTGTGTGTGTGTGTGTGTGTGTGTGTGTTTATGAAACTTTCCTGCACACACAATCATACTCCTCAATAAATGAAATGGAAATAGGTTTTTCCAAAATAATGAATTTGTTTTTTACTATATAAAAAATGTAAATAAAGTAGAGCTAAAAAAAATATGTAAATGTGCTTCTGGATAAATTGATTAAATGTAGCAACCTGAATATAAATAATTAAAACTCTTCACTTTTTCTTTGTATATATTTACACCATCCTTTAAAATGGCAAATTTCAGGGAGCAAGATTAGGTGCTCCCAAACCATTTGTTAATGGAAGTAGGTGCAAGTTTCTATGAGGATGTAAGTGATGAAGTGAGTGAATTCTGAACGATCTAATTCAAAGAATGTGAATTGATGTTTGATATTACTTTATGGTGAGTATTTTTATAGCATTTGAAAAGCCATTTATCCTCCCCCCGAACAAGTCTTGAGGTTCTCCCATTAGGTAGGACTACAATCTGTATCTGATATCTGAGGCCTCCACAGATGTAATGATGTTGTTGTTTAGTCGTTTAGTCGTGTCCGACTCTTCGTGACCCCATGGACCAGAGCACGCCAGGCACTCCTGTCTTCCACTGCCTCCCACAGTTTGGTCAGACTCATGTTTGTAGCTTCGAGAACACTGTCCAACCATCTCGTCCTCTGTCGTCCCCTTCTCCTTGTGCCCTCCATCTTTCCCAACATCAGGGTCTTTTCCAGGGAGTCTTCTCTTCTCATGAGGTGGCCAAAGTATTGGAGCCTCAGCTTCAGGATCTGTCCTTCCAGTGAGCACTCAGGGCTGATTTCCTTAAGAATGGATACGTTTGATCTTCTTGCACTCCATGGGACTCTCAAGAGTCTCCTCCAGCACCATAATTCAAAAGCATCAATTCTTCGGTGATCAGCCTTCTTTATGGTCCAGCTCTCACTTCCATACATCACTACTGGGAAAACCATAGCTTTAACTATACGGACCTTTGTTGGTAAGGTGATGTCTCTGCTTTTTAAGATGCTGTCTAGGTTTGCCATCGCCTTTCTCCCAAGGAGCAGGCATCTTTAATGTAATGATACCAATCCCCTAAACATCATTATGGAGCTGGGATCCAGCTAAGGAATGTGCCTTTTCTTTAGAAACACACATCGTCTCCCCTCAGTCCCTGCTTCTTTCGACATGATTGATGTTATCTCTGTGCTGATTTTGGAAACAAGTCTTGGATAGTGTTCACCATGGCTTTGTCTCTGGACCATAGCTATACTGCCTTTGATTAAGGCTGATGGGAATATGTAATTCTGTTACCTTTTCGTAACCCTATTATTACTATTACTGTTTATCTGAAGAAGTGTGAATGCACATGAAAGCTTATACCCAGAACAAACTTGGTTGGTCTCTAAGGTGCCATTGGACATTTTTAATATATATTTTGACCACGTCAGACCAACACGGCTACCTTCCTGAACCTATTACTACAGTTAAGGAACAGACAGTGTTAAATTTGCAGTTATGAAAGAAAGTCTTCTGACTCTTTTGGGTACCGGCTGATGGCTTGATGGCTAGAACTTAACCCCCTACCCTAGTGTAATATATTGTATAATAAATTATGACATATTTTGATAATGAAAAGTAGGCCTTAGTAATGTTTATAACAACTAGACTAATATTTTCTGTTTGTTTAAAAAAGATAAATCCTCATCACTACCACTCTTTGCTGCTTGCAAATTTATTGTGAGTTATTCTGTTCTAATTGATGGCATTCATTCTCTATGGCATATGGTTCCTCTGCAAGGCTCCCATTGATTCCCTTGGGCAAAAGTTGTTTTTTTTAAACCACTTCCATATTACACAGAGATACAGATACGGAAATTGGCCACTCACCACGGATGGATGCAGTGTTCTGAAAATCAAACTAAACACGATTCTCTGTCTAGGGTTTTAATTAAACCATTCTGTTAATTCAGACAGGATATTTTAGGCCTAAGGGGATTAACTCACTGCTTTTTAAAAGGGGCTTAAATGGCCTTTTCCCTTAGTCCACTGTTACATTTTTTTATTGGGTCTGCAGTTTTCTCCATATTCTTTAAATTGTAAATCTAGATAGATCCGTCTTCACTCTGAAAGCTGGTTTTCAGTACTTACATCCTTGTTAAATGTCTTGGAGTTCATTATTGCCTTGATAGTAAACAAACATAATTGTTTTAGTTACCCAAATTATTTCACCTAGGCTTCCTTTTAGAATCTACTTTTTCACTTATTCACTCATTGTGATACACAAAGCATTAAAAGCACATAAGAAGGGCAATGTAATTAATTTCCTATATTTTAATTCTTGATTTTTATTTTACCCAAGGAGATTTTGTTCATCTGCTGCTTGACTTTTTTTGTTGTTGTTAATGTGCAGCTGGTGCTTCAGCTGGTTCTTTTTGGAATAATTTACCTATTATGTGAATTGGTATCTTCTCTGCATCATTGTGTTAGAGCCAAGCTACACTTTCCCATGTGGAAGGTGTCTTCTGCTTGTGGAAGGACTATTTTATGCCATGCACTTGAGCACTGCGTCAGAAAAAGGAAGCTGAATCACGGATGTTCTTCTACTTGCGCAAGCAGAAGCATGAGAATGTTACAGCGCTGTGTGATGGTCTGAGGAAGCTCTTCCGCAAGCATTTCCAAAATAGCAATGGGAGTGTCCTTCTTTCCCCTCATGGCTCTTTGGAGCTAGTGTGGTGTAGTGGTTAGAATGTCAGACTAGGGAGACAAGGGTTCAAGTCTCCATTTGACCCAAGAAGCTCAGTGAGTGACACTGGGCCAGTCACAGTCTCTCAGCCTAACTTCATAGGATTGTTCTGAAGATAAAATGGAGTGGGGAGAACTATTACACCACCTTGAGATATAAATATAATAGAGGCGCAGGTGGTGCTGTGGTCTAAACCACTGATCCTCTCGGGCTTGTCGATTGTAAGGTTGGCAGTTTGAATCCACACATGACGGGGTGAGCTCCCATGGCTTCGTCCCAGCTCCTGCCAACCTAGCAGTTTGGAAGCATACCAGCGTGAATAGATAAATAGGTACTGCTGCAGCGGGAAGGTAAATGGCGTTTCTGTGTGATATGGCATTTGTCACGGTGTTCTGTACGCCAGAAGTGGTTTAGTCATGCTGGCCACATGACCTGGAAAAGCTGTCTGCGGACAAAGGCCGGCTCCCTCGGCCTGAAGCGAGATGAACGCCGTGCCCCAAGGTTGAATTCAACTAGACTTAACGGTCTAGGGATCTTTTAGCTTTACCTTTAGCTATAAATGTAATAATATATACTGTACATACATGCATAAATAAACAAAACAAAACAAAAAACACCATTGCCTTCTGAGCCTGTGATCCAAAGAACTGTGAAATTAGTTCTTGATAACAAGGACCTTTAGACATGTTCTTTTCAAGATAGCACCCCCCACCCACGAACACAAAAACTCATGAGTTTTTAAAACAGTTTGTGACAAGTTTATCAGCAACAAAATATTACAGTATATCTTCTAGAATATTATAACTTGTAAGGAGCTTACAAGTGGTCTTCCTCTGATGCGGCATTCGGCTGCACAGTTTTACATCAGGTGCTTTGATCGCTAGCACTGCAATTGGGACCCGTCCAGTTGGGAACCATTGTGGTATGTCCCAAG